ATTCCGTCAGTGGTGTGCACTCTCTGTGGCTCTCATTGTCTGTCAGTTTGCGATCACAAGTGATTTGATGTGAAAATGAATACCAAAATAAAGTGTTATTAATATTTGTATATCGTATCCAAGAATCACAAGAATCGGCTGCAAATCACTCTTCGGTTGCCGTCGACTGTGTTTGCGATTGTCATCCATTGAGTGCTGCTTTCGGTGGCAATGCGTCCGATGTTCACGAGTCAGCCCATGTGCTCATATGGAGGCCATTCACCGCAAACACCGCTGCCCTCCTCTGAACCCCTTTACCCCAACCCCTCCCTCATGTCTCACCCGCACCCACACCCGCCTCTCATCACACATCCACCGCATACTCCGCACACACCGTACGGACAGCCAGACTATCGCGTCTACGAAATCAATAAACGACTCCAACAACGATCTGAAGTAAGACAACCATTTGATTACACCATTCATTTGATCCATTCATTGATCCGTTTGTGTACCCGATATGACAGCTGTTTGTGAACCAAGAGAGTGACAATCTATGGTGGGATGCGTTCGCCACTGAGTTCTTCGAAGACGACGCCACTCTTACGCTCACCTTTTGCTTAGAAGACGGACCCAAACGATACAGTAATTGATTTTTAACCATTCATTTTCACCCACTCTTTGCCTATCATTGCTCTAACACTCGGTGTCTCTCTGTTTGTGTGCAGCGATCGGTCGGACTTTGATTCCGCGATACTTCAGGAGTATCTTCGAGGGCGGCGTAACTGAGCTGTCGTTTAATCTGAAGCGTCCGAAGGAGTCGTTTCATCAGTCGTCGCTCACTCTGGACTGCGACCAGTGCTCTGTTGTCACACATCACGGCAAACACTATAACAAGGTATCCATCAATACCTATACCCAAACACATGACAACTGCTCATTACTGTACCTCACATTTATTTTGCTATCATTTGTCTCTCTTTGAGTGATATTATTATGTTTTTATGCATTTATTTTGTGATTTAATTTAATTGTCTGTTATTTAAATTACGAAAGAAGTGACCGAAAGATGAATTATTTTTGCCTGATTTTTGTGGTATTATTTTTTCAATGCGAATAAATCGATGCCTGAAATGCAAACTCTATTTCCATGGAAACGGAGTCTCAGAGAGGAGAGCGGAGTATCGATTTAATGGTCGGGTAGTCATAGCGATGGCTCACCTCTCGCAGAGCCAATGCATAGCTTATGTTGAGAGAGAAGTCACTTCTGCTTTCGCTTTCACTTTGCATTCAAAATAACTTTTTCTTATTTTTTCCGAATCTTTTTTATCGATTTATTTCACACGAAATTAAATATTTTCTCTTATATTGAAATTAATTGTCTTTTTGGACCAAAATTAACGCAATGTTTGCTTTGTATGACACGACTTTGGTATAGCCAATGGGTCCATACCCTCCGCCACCCAATGACCCAATCAAAGAGCAATTAGCGAAAGATAATTCAGTAGTGGTTTGCACTGAAGGCCGGCTTATATTAGAGTTCACTTTCGATGACTTAATGCGAATAAAGTCGTGGCATTTCGCGACCCGACATCACCAGGAGTTGATTCCTAGAGGCATAGTTGCAATGCAGGCACAACAGGACCCCACTATTCTCGAACAGATGTCCAAAAACATTACCCGTCAGGGGCTGACCAACTCTACACTGAATTATTTAAGGGTATGAATCATCAGTCATAGTGTGGCCAACAATTGAATTGACTGTATTGTCTTGTATTGTCAGCTCTGCGTTATATTAGAGCCGATGCAGGAACTCATGTCAAGACATAAGGCATACTCTTTAACCCCAAGAGATTGTCTGAAGACAACGCTGTTTCAGAAATGGCAGCGAATGGTCGCTCCGCCCGAAGCGTCGCGACCGCCGAGTAAGCGAAGGAAACGAAAGTCGTCGACGAATAACGGGACGACTGGCGGCGCCGGCAAGAAGAAGAACAACGCGGCGAACATGAGTCCCGGACCCCCAAACTTCACGCTCGCCTCTCAGGTTTGCGTTTTTTGACCGCTATTTTGATAACATATGGCGACAAATATTGATAATTGTTTGTTAGGATGTGATGGTAGTCGGAGAACCATCTCTGATGGGCGGCGAGTTTGGCGATGAAGACGAGAGACTCATTACAAGACTGGGTATGTTTAGCACAGGTTGTTGTGGTTGTAACCACTTTACAAATGCTTGTCAAATGCAATATAATAACACTATTGTATGTAATAGAAAACAACCAATATGATCCGAGCGCATCCAACGCCGCAAACGGACTCGAAGACAACGATGAGTTTGCGTCGATGGGTGCGCCAGGAGGCGGGCCCTCTGGCAACGGTCCGCCGCCCGGTTGGCCCAACGGACCGAACGCCGGTCCACCCGGTGGTCCCAACTCAGGTCCTCCGTTATCGGAGCGGTCATCAGTTGGCGGCGGCGGCGGTAACAACGGTCACACACCTCACGGCCCCGGCTCTCAAGACGATAACAAAAAGCAATCACCGAATATAAGTCAATAAAGATCTGAAGAATGAATAGTTTTTTCACAAATTATATAAATATTATTTGAATGCAATTATTTGTAAGCATTTAAGAGGTGACGGAATACCCACTCATCCATACATTATTGACAAACAAAATACAAAACAAATTTTTTATGCTATTTATGACAAACAAATTATACATATTTAATGTTAATCTATATTTGTTTAATTGATTGACATATGATTCCAATGTAAACACTTTACATCAAATCCATTGGCCATCATTTCTTTTATTATTTATTTATTTTTAATATTATTATTATTACCCGTGTTTTCGATCATTTAGTTTTCGCGAATTTATTATATCTACGAATTGATGACCAAAAGGATCGCTCCTTTCATTGCATTTATTAATAACTAAAAATATAATATAAATTGATATGATTTTCAATGAATAAATCAATGTTTCTTTAATTACATTTTGACGCTAATTATTATCCAAACTATTAATTTTGTGGATTTTGAGTCCAACTCATCCCATAATATCGTTATAAAAAAGTTGATGAATTAAAAAATGGCTAAAATTTGGTTTTTTTATCAGAAGAACTCATTATTTGATTCAAAAATAAAGTCATTTGTTTGGGACATAATTGTCAAAAAAAAGTATAATATATTTTCTATGCATTATATGGTTTAAAAAAGCATTTAATACTGTATTATCATTTCAAGCGTCAAAAATGTGTCCCTTTTATGTCATAATTATTTAGTATTTAAAGAAAAATTATTCATTTTATTTGCCATAATTTCTCCACAAATTTTCTTGTTTTGGCCAATAGTTCGCTGATATTTGCCTCTAATTTATGTTACGAAACAGCGATTGAATTATAAAGTTGTGTGAGTTTTATAGCATAGACTCGAAAGTAAGGTAAAGACAAATACATCGTTAAGCAGTTTGTAGTTTGCGTTCACTTTTCTATTTCCTCTGTTTGTGTGAAGTTGTGCTCAATTTTTCAAGTTTTCTCATATCCATAGAGGCATAACATAATAATATATACACCACTAATACCTCTATAACTTTTATAATAAAACGGTGCCTTTTAATTTTCATAAAAATACTCTTAAAAAGTTTGTGTCAAAAAAGTTTCGGTTCACTTAATTGATTGGCCGACCAGTCGTTTTACTATGAAGTTGTATGCGTTTGCACTCATATTATTGAGTTTTGGTGAGTGTTTTGTCCACTATTTTTGAAATTTATTTTTAGAAAAACTCTCGTATCAAATGAGTCCAAATCACATATCTATCGATTCATTAGCATATAATTAATGGTATTTATATTTACAATTTCGCTTACGGTTACTCTTCTATATGTGTGGCCTTCGAGTCCCGTTGTATTACATCTTTTTCATTGGTTTAATGACACAAATTCCTCACAAAAAAACTTTACTTAAACTTATTCTCATAAAAAATGTTGAGAACATTGCGATAACTGTTTATCAATAATCTTATTGTGAAATCCATGTTAACATCACTTTCAATAACTTTTTTCTCAAAGTAGATAACACTTAAAACTTATTATTTAGATGCTTTACCCGAGTGTTGAACACCTATTTGGAAACATTAATGGGCCCTCCTTTTGACCTTATGTTTATTTGATTACAAAAACCTATACTTTATTAAAATATTTAGTTTCCATAATATGCCTAAACCTTAATTCATTTGTTAATTAAAATTTGAAATTATTGATATTAAATATACTAATTTACTAATTATATAGAAAAATATCGAATATTTTTTATTATAATTATATAATAACCTCAAGTGTAACCGATATCTAAACAAATTTAGCCCTAAATAACATTTCTTATGAGAAATAAAATTTATGCCAAAAGCAAGACTTGATTTGAATTCAATTGTTTGACAACATTTTTATGTTTTTCATTCAATTCAGATATAAGTTTATGTTAATATTAAGTGCAATGTAATACACAATACTAGTTATTAATTTATGGTATTATATGTCTGTATTAATACACACCAAAAATTATTTAGTTTTAATAGCTATTTGGTAAAAATTATGATTAATTCAAATTTTATACAATTATTTATGAAAAGAATTACTGATTCAAGGAATGAAATCAATTCAATAATACGTTTATATTTTTCTAAGAATACAATCATTTGTACCACTCATTCAATTTAGTTTACAATTAACGCATTTCACTAATGATTGGAAAACAGATATTATTATTATTACTGACTTTCGCCCATTTCTTCCTAATTCACTGAATCCTTACAATTGTATTCATTTTATGTTTCGTTATAAACGGCATTATAGACAACATATACAGACAATTGAATGAGAATTTCGCCTAAACTCCGGAATTAAAAATTAACTTTTTTATGTGAATTTCCGCTAAATTTTGACTAAAAAAAGACAAAAATAAAAGTTTAGTTTCAATGATGGAAATCTTTTTCGCAGATTTAACCGTAACTGTGAACACCCTTTCCGTATTCAGCGCTCAATTAGAGACTTGTTTTTAAAAAGTGAAACCTTGAATGATGTGAAACAACGTTTTGAATGCTATGAAAAATGAAATTGTATTTTATTTTTGCGAATTTGTAAATATATTGTTATTAAATATATAGAAATATTATTAGCAAAATGAGGAGCACTTCTATATAACAAACCGAAAACAAGTATAAAATATATAAATTTGGGTCAAATTCTATCACTTTTTTGAGGTCAAGAAAATTTTCAATTTTTGTTTGAAAGCCAATAATGTTTTCATTAGTATTAGTGTTATTAATAATAAAATAATTAATAATTGGATGCAATATATAATATCTGTTTTAATATAATTATATTGATTTTTATAGTCATTTGGTGCTTAAAATTGTTTCCAAACATTATTCAATTACATTTTTACAATTATATTGATTTATTCAATTAATTTTTTGTTGAAGAGTTTTACCGAGATTGGGGTCAATTTCTGTCAACTTTGTTTGCATTGCATTTAAAGTCCAAACATATAACTTATTTTTAACTTCATTTTTTTGTTAGACAAGTATTTTTGTATAAAAATATTTTTGTTGTATAAATATTAATGAATTTTGAAATATCTATCCTTTTATAGGGAATATTTTAAAAAAATCTTCTCTATTAATAGCAAACATATTATATTCGTGTAGTTGTTATAAAACATACAAATAAAAACATATAAATCATTGAATGTTTTGAATTTAACGCAAACTTTTAAAAAATCATTAAAAAAAGAAAAATATATTTAAGAATTCCTGTAAAACGTGTTTCAATGAACTATTGATTTAAACATTTAGAAAAATTATTTGTTATAAAACTTGATTACATAAAAGGCTAAAACTATAAAATGTTGAATATATTCATTGATCGCAAACTTTCCCGCAATCTCTCGATATTGACGACAATCTGAGACAACATGTAAACACAATTTACATGAAACCCAACCACTTGTGAACATATAAATAGCAAACAAATATAAAGTTATTTACAAATATTTTTATAAATAGGTGTAAAATTCGGAATAATTAACAAATATACATAAATAAATATAAATATTATAATATAAACATAAACTATTTCCATGTCATTCAGCCAATCTTAATAGTAAAGTCATTATATCGTAAAGTATTTATTTTACGTATTTTTATATTAATGTTTTACAACCATTCAAACTTTTTTTTAGTAAATATAAATACATATTTAGTTTTGAATATATTTATTTATTTTGATTTTTTCAATAATCAAGAAATGATTGATAACTATAATTCTTATTATTTGCCAAAAACTATATTTTCGTATATTCTTTGCAAAACATATTTAATAAATGATTGCCTAAAATGCATATTAAACTATAAACTAAATGTGGAACAAACGAATTACACTTCTTTTATATATAAATATTTTTATTAATATTTAGAAAATTTTATTTATTAGACAATTGTCGCAAACAATTTCATTTAAACGTATGGCAAAAAACTTGAACTTAAAGTTATTTAAAACTTTTATTTAAAATATTTAACATTAAAAACAAGAATCTTAGGTCTAGATTTTGATTGATTAAATAAAATAAAACTTATAATATAAAAATTCATTCTTAAAAAAACATAAATCAATTTATAGTTATATTATCTGGTAATAAAACGAAATATAAAAATATTTTGCATTTTTAACAAATTAAGTTTATAAATCAATAATTTTTAATTTATTGCCTTTAATTTGCAAAACATTTCAAACTCTGAGAAGCGTTTGAAATTGAGTGTCAAAGCAGTCATAAAAATGGTCAGAAATATTTCGGTCGTTTTATCGGTTCATTTCCGGGGTCTTCGCATAACGTGAAGGGAGAAGTCTATGCCGTCAACGAGAATACAATATATATCCGGGAATTTTCATATGACGGCGCCGGACCCGGTATGTCATCCATTAACACACTTATTGTGTTTTATATTTAAATAACTATATTTCAAAAATACTAATTGAATGCAACAATCAATTATTGTATTCATGCAAAAATGCAATCACTATTCAACACATTAAATGATGGGCAATAAAAAGCTGCCTTCTTTTGGGCGGGCAGTCAATCGGTCCCAAATCCGGACGGCTTTGTTATACCCGACGAACTCGGAAGGCATGTCATAAACAATCGATCGCTTATTAATTAACATGAAATTAACGCTTTATTGTGTGATTGATTTTATTTAAAAACAATAGAAACGTCAAACTCAACGCTTATAACAAGCAAAACATTTTGCTGACACTGCCTAAAGGCAAAACATTACGGGATATCAAGTGGATAGCAGTTTGGTGTCAGCTCTTCACTGTTAGTTTGAAATCAATTCAATAATATTGATGCCATCATATGATATATGAAATATTTTGCTTCGTTGACCATAACAGGTAAACTTTGGTCACGTGAACGTTCCCTATAACTTCCCGTTCCCCAAAGAGCAAAACTTGGGTCCGATTCCAACCCTCGGTCACAGAACACACGCCGACGCCGTCATCATTAAAGACGAGAAGACATTATTTATAAGGCATTCAAGTTTTACAAATATAATCACTGTTTGCTTTAATATTATATAACCATAAACTATAACCGTAACAGGAATTTGCATTATGACGGCGCAGCACCCGATGCCTTCTTCTTGATGGGAACCGGTAATAAACCACACGAACACGCCGTCAAAATTCCCGATGAAAACGGCAGGTATGACCTGTTATTACACTAAATACTATATAAAATTATTAATATATTTATTTATTTTTACTGCATTTTAAGTTTAAATAAAATTCGTGGATATCGTGGTGTGGATATCACTCTCCGACTGCCCGACAATCACACGGTCTTTGATTTCGATTGGTTTGCGTTGTTTTGCATAACATATCGCGAAAATTTTGGACACGTTTCCATTCCTAAATACCTTAATATTCCTCCGAGTCTTCATTCCCTTCAAAAAGATGTGAGAATTTAATTTTAATTTAATTTGTTTTTTATTTTTAATTAAATCTTTGTATTCATGTGAAGGTTTCATCGTTCCCTAATTGCGAGACAATATTTGCGGATCAATTGCAAGTGAGTTGGGAAGTGAGACATCCAGACATATACATCCAGTTGGAGGGGAGAGTCGGTACGAGTATTCTTATATACTATATCTCTATAGCTATTGAATTAATACTTTCATTTATTCAGCGCCCGATCAATACATCTCTTTTGGTTTGAGGTATTATTAGTTATAATGACATTTGAATTATAGATATAATAATAATGTAAATTTAATGATGTCTTCGCCAGTGGTTCGACACAAAGGGCACAAATGGTCGGCGCAGATGTTGTGGTCGTCTTCTATGACTCCGTCAGGTATTGGCCAAAGATATTGTCGTTATTTTGTATATTATTTGGATGTCTCTTATTTTTCGTTCACTTTTCCTGCTATTGATTGAATTGATGCTAAAAATAATATTATTTTGTCATTTCAGCCAAAAAGCAAAAGTAGTTGACTATACGCTGACAGCGAAAGCACAGGTAAGCCATTGAATGCCATTAAACCGATTACTCGACTCTACAAGTGCTTAACAATCGATACGATAGTGCGCTCCGCAGTCCAACAGTGGCGCCTGTCCTGACCAAGTGGTCGGCGGCAGACAGGACTCTGAGCTTATTCTATGGCATTATAACGACGGTGTCCTCAAAGTGTCGTATAAACGAAAACTCTATACCAGAGACGACGTCGCGGACGAAGAGATTATTGTGACGAACCCTATGGTTGTGGTCGCGGCTATCGGTCCACTCAATAGCAAAAAAGAGGCCGCATTTCATAACATTGAATACACCAGAGCTTCAGACAAACCGATAAAAATACTTTTCGGAAAACTTCAAAACGAGAGGAATTGTGATTTACTGTCAAATCCGTCTAATGTTATTCCCAGCGCTTATTATTCTACGGTCGAGCCCTGGAATCCAAGCGTTATATACGCCCAAAATAATCAAGTGTTTAGAGTAGTTATAGGACCGGCTGGCGGTGACCGCGGATATACACCCATCACAGGAGTCCAGTCTTGGGGTATCGCTTATTGGGTCGACGATAAGCTTATTCCCGAAATCCATGTCCAGAGAGGAGACAATTACACATTTGTTGTGGAGGCGGGCAATAATCCGTCAAATCAGGCCAAATATCATCCCTTGTATATCACAGACAACAGAGAGGGAGGCGGTGGTCAACGACCGCAAGAACTAAACACTCCCAACCATATGGTGTACGCGGGCGTCGATTTGTCAAACAGTAGACCGGATCCGTCTCCCGGAGCCGGTCGTTACTGTGAGCTCCAGTTGGAAGGCATAGATACGGCAAATGTGAGCAATTCTATTGAGGAATATCGCAAGACATTGAAATTGGTTTGTGAGGTATTGTATACAATCATTCATTTGTCTCTCTCCTCTTTGTCTCTTCCCTTCTTTGCACTTATCATTTAAATATGTATTCAAATTAGTGTTGAAATATAATTTTTTCAGCTAAACTAACATTAAATTTATAGTCTTTATTAATTAGTGTTTGATTTATATATAAAAGTGTGTAAACATTAAACAAAGAGCTTTCAATTGAATTAATGAGCTCTCAAAGAGTTCGGGGTTTGTGTTTAAACACGACTCAACATTTATTTAATGTAAAAAATTGCATAAATCTTTTTTTTTTTGTATTCACAGTTAGAGTGAGTGTTAATTTGCAGACATTTATCACTGATGTATGAAAATTAGTGGAAATAGTTGTTTGATTTTAAGATTTGACTTATACTGACTCTTGTGAGAGAAGTCACGATTGATTTGACAGCAAATTTTAAACACAAATCAGTTATATATTAGGTATTTGTTGTTCAATGAAAAGAAACCATCAATTGTTAACTATGTTTCATGCAGACAATCATTTGAAGACCTTTTTGTTATTGGGATTTGAATGCACTGTATTATCAATCTTCAAATCAATCACTAATTCATTATTATAGCCGTAAACAAAGTTTTGCCAAAATTTCCAAAACATGAGTTGTAATACAAAAAAGGGTATTATTATATTGTAGTATCGGTTTAAATATCTTTTTACTGAGAATATACTTTGTATACAAAATGTATTATCAATTAATGAACTATAATTAAGACAAAGTTTCACAACCCCTTCATTAAACTAGAAAAAAGGCAAATAATTCTATGGCTAAAAATCATTAAACAAAACAGAAGTAGAATTTTCACGATTAAAATCTCAAAAGTTTAACGTTTTTTCATAAGCTATACTTTTCGGCACACTTTACACATTGAAATACACTGTAATCACTGAATAATAAATATCTCATCTAAAAGAGTAAAATCCGGAGTAATTAATGGATTTTACTTTTAATTTTTATTCAACAGATAATAGTCAGTATTTTATGAGAAGTTTGGCTTAAAATAGCACTTCGGCACAAATATTATCGAGTCTTTAATCAATAATTTATAACTAAAATAACATTAAATTTTATTTGTTTGATAAGTAACTTGAGAATTGTGCCCATGTTTATCAGTTTTTAATGTTATATATTCTCATTATTACTATAAATTTGATTTATTTTAACGATAGGTTGGAAACGTTGCCACATTTACGTGGAGTCCCGATGAGACCACTCCAGACATTGTCTATTATCAGGTGAGCTGTTTTTGTTAGTCGTTTACATACTTATCATACATAATAATACACATTATGTTTCACTTTATTATCGCATATAAAGAGTTTGAAATTTATTATTCGTTTCGATATGTTTTTTCTTCCTATGATTTGCAGTGTTTTACACATCGAAACCTCGGCTGGAAAATAGTGGTCAACTCTGCACTCAAATTACAATCACTTCATTATATCTTTTCCATTGTAGTAATGATTACAATAAAAATTCATTCAATATATTTATAAACCCATCACTTCTTCAAATCCGATATAAAAAGAGAGGAATGAAAACGCATTCAACTTATAGTTAAATGAATTAAAAATACAAATAACTTTATTTTTTAAATATATGTTATTTTCATTGTTATGTTTTAAAGTTTTAAAGAGATCTTATAATACCATTACCATTGAATTCCCGTCTTTTATACATACAGTATATATATTTATATAAAAATCTTGTCATATATTGTATAAAACATATCATTAATCGTTGTTTCATTATATCGTTGTATTTTTATTGAATTGTTTTATTTGAAAAACAGTTCCCAGAGTTTGCGAAAATGAGATTAAAATGTTTTGATTCACAAGTGATGAATGATTATTAAATTTATTAACAATTTTTATTGAATTTAAAAACATTGCAAATAATGAGTTTAAAGGGAAGGGGAGAGAGAAAAACGAAGTAAAATAAATAATTATAACAATTTGTTATGACTTTAATAGTTGTTTTGCAAACATTATTATAGGAGTCCATTAGATAGAAGTACCTCATTATAAACAATATTAAACGGTTATATAATTTACCGTATATTATGTTTTAAGACATTTTTATTTCTAATGTATTCAAAATTTACAATTAAATGCAATTTATATAAAAACGTAAACATTTTTCATATTAAAAGGAAACTATTTTTTCAAAAATAATAGGATTTTATATTAACGCATAATTAAAAGTCCTGTATTATTATTATTATTATTTTGGTAATGGGTTAGAAAAATGAGTTAAAATTCAATTTGATCATTTGATCAATGCATTTAAAAAGTTTACACAATTAAACTAATGTTAAGTTCATGTAATTTAGGGAAATATCTATAATGAATACTTAGTTTGAAACTTTGTATTTTGTATAAAAAACAAAATTATATTGAAATTTAATATATAATGTAATTTAAGTAAAATATAAATTAGTATTAATGTTATTAAAAGATAGTTCGGGATATAAAAGAGGTCGAAATAAGTTTATTTCCTGTATGAGGTTGTGTCCGACAGACATACCTATGCTATTATATAACACTTATACTCTAATATAGTATTGTATCGTAAGTATTATCAAATAGTATTATCGATATTCTTCACTTAATTCAATAGTTAACGTATGGATACGATTGTTATTGACTCCACTATGCAGTTAACAATGACTTTAAACTTGAAGATTATTATTATTATTGCTATTTTTGAAACTATAATTTATTTTCACTTACATTGACTTACTTTCACTCAATACTGTTACTTCACAAAAATATAACAATAAGTATTAGCTGTCGTTTTGAAATATGTGTATATATTTAAGACGTTTCGGTTAAATAATTTTTCAATAAATAATAGCTTTTGCTTTTAATAGTTTGTATTCCCTTTCAAGTGTTTGTAATTATATATAATTGTGAAATGCTTGCCAATGTATGTGAGAATATTCTAACTAGTGGTAAAATGCTTATATGCATTTTTATGCCAAATACAAATAATACAAAAATATATTTAAAATTTGCATTAATTTAATGTTAGAATGTATGAGAAAAGCGCTGGAATCATCATATTCAAAATATTCTCAATACATAGATAGTGTCATTAGTGTATAATTGGTGTCATTTCTTATAACTTTCTAATAGTTTGCCAGTTGTTGTAATATTGCACTGAAATGCGTTGACAATTAAATATAATTATTGAAAAGGTGAAAGCAAAAATAAACAATTAACAAAAAAATAGTCGTTTATTGAAAATTATTTAACCATAATTCTCTTAAGTTCCTACCTTTACAGAAGTACCTGTAGTTATATTGCAGTACATCATATTAATATACGGTATTGTATATGAATATAACTGTGAATACAATATAAATCCCTGAATGTAAGGAAGAATGCAATGAATTCTGGCGATGAGTTCATCGATCTATTGATTATAAAATGTATTCACAAAAACATAAATTGAAAATTAAAATATTTTTTAGATTTGATACGGATTTTACACACAAAAAATAATTTGCTTGAAATTTATTATTCGTTTTTGTTGTGAAGAAATGGAAATATGCTTTGAAGGGAAGGTATTTCGATATATACTATGAATACAGTTATAGTAATAATAATAAAATTGTTTGATTTGAAATGCGATGAAAAGATAAATAAAAGTGTTGTATAGATATAGAGATGATGTGGAGATGTATTGTGTTGTGAGACGTAATGTTGAATACGTGAACACAAGTGTTGGCAACATATTTACCAGATTTGGTCAATAGTTTTGCGAGTAATCAAAACAAATCACGATTCAGTGAATCAAACGTTGAAAGCATTTCATCCAAAATTGAATTGAATTTGTTTTCATATACACAGAAAAAAGTCAATTTCACTATAAAATTATACTCCATTATAAAGATTATCATTGAATTCATTGAAAGTCTTGTACATCACTGGAAGGTATGGTTTAGTGGCTGACTGTGTCTATAAATAAACATATAGTGAACTCTTTTTGAGCTTATTTTCTCTCCGGTTATGTCTCTAATCTAAAAGCCTTAGTTAATCATTAATTAAATTCATCGTAAATGCACAGGAATTAGAGGCAATTTCACCAAATTTTGTTTATAAATGGATATTTTTGAAGTCTTAATACATATTGTCATTAGTTTTATTGGTATTATTTGATAACAATTTAGAGCTAATATGCAATTAAAGGGGCTTTGAATTGATTTTCCCAAAAACATAAATAAATAAAAAGCAGTGGTTTTTATTAAAGCATTGAATAGTCTTTTAGGGAATGAGTGAAGAAATATATGAAGAATCGATAAAATTATATTTACTCTTATATACAAAATGTGAACCAATTATTTGAATCCAAATAAGACTTAAGTGTCTCTGAGTTTGTAATTAAGACTGACATCCAATGAAAATCTCATTTTCCTAATTTAGTTAAATATTTTATTTCCATTCAATTCTCAGGCTTTAATTCTTACTAAATATAAATTAATTTGCATTATTATCGACTAAGAAGTCAAGCAATTCACACATTAAATTACTCTATTTTCAAACTAATAAATGAATTTTAATTATACACATCTATACTGTGCATTAATATAACACTTAATGATGTTTTTGTGTTTTTGGAGATAAATTATTTTTGCATTTAATAATCAATAGTATGTTACCATTTGAATGAAAAGATCTTAAAACAATATACAATTGTTGTCACCAATTGTTTTATTGTGGAGACCATTGAAACACTTTGATGTGAATGAATGCATGAAATAAAACACAATTTCTAAAACCAATTGTGTTTAATAATCTCAAAGTACTATCAAATATGAGTTTTGAAATTCACTGACAATTTATATTAAATGTATGCTAATTGTGTTAAACTCATCACAAATGTGACAAACATTGCTGTCATCTAATTAAACAACACTCATGAAAAATTTATATATTTATATTTTATTCATTTAATAATTCTTCTAATGCTAAAAATTGCTTAATAATTATTTGCAAAAATATTGTATAATCAAATGTTTATCGATTATTCCTATTTTGAGGCATATGAAAGTCAATTAAGCGCTATTAATACAATTTTATGCCTAAATTATATAACTTTATCATCAATTAATACATTAATTAACGTTTTAATAAAATTTTAATTGAATTAATTGGAGGTAAACATCGAGAAATCAAATAATGATGACAGAAGTTAATGCTATTTTGTTGTTTTGGGAAGTCGTCGATAATTGTGAACATTAGCCAAAAAACCTATCGATAAGAAGACCGTTAATCAAAAAGCATTTGACAAAAAAAAGTAATTTCTTTTTTATAAATGACTTAATGTTTGTCCTAAAAAAGGGGCCAAACATTTGAGAAGTGGAATAAAAGGTCTGTTTATACCGTGTGTTTGTGATGAGTATATTCTATGCCATAAATAAATGTGAGACAAGTTTTGAATCCCAAAACAAGCCATCGGAATGGGAGTTACGATTGGGTTTAGTGTTTGGGCTAATACATCGAAACATCACATTTATTAGTGATTTTTCCTAAAACAAACAGTTATGTAATGTTCGGGTCATATATTAATACTAATATAATAAGCATTTGTGAATTGAAGTGCATATAAATATTGTGTGTTTATTAAACGCGGCGATCGGTTCGACAGCATATACTATGCGATGGGAATATAGAGAACATTAGCCTTAGTTTGGTTACTGACTGACTGTCTGATTGACACAATTTTCTCAAAAACTCGTTACCACTTCTCATGTTATGTTCGGTTGTGTTTCTCTTTGGTGTTTGTCTTGTGTTTGTTATGAAGTGCTCAATACAAGTCAACAGACGAGTAGTGGTGTAGAGGAGTACCTGAATCCTAGTGTTGCTAAGAGTGGATGACTGGAGGACAGGCATACAGTGCATGCACTTTGAATTATTGCATTCTATGCACTACTCGTCGTATGTATGCATTCAAACGATGCCAAACATTCTGCTCTCCACTACTATTCCTGCAGTATTCCTACCTTTCCGTACGATTTGATAGCAAACTCTTATATAATACAACAGTTCTCGTCGGCAGTGGTGTGTTGTGTGCCGTTTGATCGGCATTTGCGCTCTTCAGGGCCTACTGTTCGCACGTGAGGCACAGGTCTTGTCTCTCATATACTCTATCACTGTATATATAAAGTGAACGAAAACTAATGATTTAGTGAACGCCACGACATAAGCCAACAATTTATCCGCAAATCTTTCTCCTTTCACGTCGTCTTGTGTTTGACTCCAAGAGAAGAGAAGAAGAAAAAAAGTATTTTATATTAAGAATAAAATATGTTATAAATTGAAGCCATTATTAGAGGGGAAAGCGATCGATACATAACATAGAAAGGATGACTTCAAACAGTTCTGTCAGTCTATACCACAATCCCTCTCCGCTAACGATCGAGAATCTATCAAAAGGTGTGAATCACCACAAACTCAATATATATAACGCCAGATATCACGGCGGAAACCCTGCGATGAGTAATTCACGCTATGGTAACGGAGCCCCACTTTCGCACATGATTTCACACTACATCGGATCCAACGATCTTCAGCCCCAGAGCCGAGCGCAGAGCTATCACAGTTCACGGCCGCAGCCGCCACCACCGCAGTCGCCGCCATCACAGCCACCACCACAACAGCAGACCATTTATCAGTCGTCGTCCACTTCTGCGGTGAATCGGATCCGACCGGAAAAGTCAAACCGACGAAACGTACAGAAGCTTACGTGGAGAAGCACTCAATGGGTTAAGGGCTTTGAGGGCTGCGATGACGATGACTACGACCAGACACATGTGGACAGTATGACCATTACAGACGTGTCCACTACTGTTGCCATCAGAAGAATATTACTTCTCTACGAAAACCTTCAGTTCAGAGAAGCGGCCAATTTTATCAATCGCTTGAATTACAGTACATTCAAAGCCATAATCACTGATTTGCCGATTGATGTGTTCGTGGAGTCGATTCCCAATTCGTTGCCAATCGTTGAGGCCTTATATGCGAAAGTGTTTCTCAGTTCAAGCGATGGACTGACGCTGTCCTTCAAATTTCTTCATCCGGAGAATGTGTTGATGCAAATGGTCAGACTCTTCGCCCTCCAGAACCCAAGTATTCCCGAAAACGCTAATTGTTTGCTGCAATGCATTCAAGAAAAGCTCGACTCAAATCATCCATCAGTTGTCTCGTGTAAAAAATTATTAAAGGTCTGTCCATTTGATTGATTTGTTTTAAATTATATACAGTATATTGAAAAGCAGTGGTTAATAAGCGAAACCATTTGCATGTCATTTAGGTTATCATTCTGTCTGAACCGAGTTTAAGAAAACAAATTTATAGCAAAAAGCGTTGTCTAGACCGGGCTATTGAAGGGCTGGGCCATCACGGACTGGTCGGCACTTCCGATGAGAAACTCATGAATTTACACGAAGCGCTCAAATTAGAGTTTGAAAGAGTTATACAACACTATAAGACTGCTGTCCAGAAGTTAGAGGAATTGGCTTTGGCTAAGAATAAAGAGCCGATTACGAGCTCATTATCGGTGGGACCCGCGCCTACTAATAGCTCACACCAGAGGCTATTGAGCCTAAGACAGGACGAGATTCAAGAGAGACTAATCAAGAATAAGACTCTATTGAACGCTTTAGAGCCCTGTTCTTTCACTAACCACTCTTTGCAAATACTGTTAGCAATACTCCAGAAGCGTATCGATTATGACAAAGAAGTGCTCTTCCAATTCACTCAATTGCGGAAAGAGTACTCATCTCTCTCTCCAAACTCATCGCAACAAAACCCTATCGATAAGGAAGCGATTGTCGCACCCGTTCTCATGCGGTTCTCTCATGGATGCGGTCAGGTATCCAATTCATCACAAAACCCTTTCACTATATTATTCCTATGCAAAAATATTTCTTTCCACGTTTCCATCGCATGCATACAATTATGAGTATATTTTGCTGATATATAAACCAAATGTTTAGGTTTTGAATCTAATACAAGATGTGCACGGATTGGACACATCGGTGGACAACGACGACAGTAGCGATATATCCGGATATCACAGCGACTCTGATTCGGCACTAATCATGAATTCGCCGCTCAATATTCCCAATTGCAAGACAACCAAAAAATACAATACAGTTCTCTATCGATCGGGTAAGTCAGCCCTCGCATGCGAACCATAGCCTATCATATCATATGATTTTAATTGCTTATATAAAAACTCATAATCAGTCCAAACGCATGAAATAGTAATTTGGATATTAATTCTGTTGATATGGTTTTGAAAAACACAAATTATGAAATTATATGAGAGGTATATATAAAAGTAATGAACTTCTCTATTGTGGAGAGCATTGAACGAGAAATTACTTCAAATAATTGAAACAATGAAAGTATAATCAAATATTCACCGCTAGTTTATCACAAACGTTTTGCGCAAAAATACTAATTTCCAATAGTTATCATACAATACTAGTCTATGATATAATAGCCCTGTGTTTCTGTATATTGCAATGAATTATAATTTATTTATTTTTTGTTGTTTCTACACATTTTGAATGCATTTTCGGTCGAGTGGTTCACATAATAGCCCAATATATACGGTGAAAGAGAGCAGCCGTTTGTCAATAACGGCAAACATAACTCCGGGCACTCTTTTTACACAAATCTTTCCGGTTTTTGTTAAGTCAGAGTCGGAGTCAAGCTATAGATCGCTGTGTTTCGCACAGACTATCAAAAAACTATATATATATTTGAAAATTAATTCATGTTTTGGTGCATTTAGTTTATCTAATAAACAATAAGGCGCTTATGGAGTGTCTGTTTTGGTGAGATAGCACTCAAACACTGCTATTTTCGCCGCTATTTTCAGTTCAAGACATTTTAATCAAAGTTGCAAATCAGACAAATTAGCTAATTATACACAAAACTCACTTCATTTGCTTAAACGAGTGTAAAATCGCTAAAGAGTTGCAATTTTTATAAAACATTAATTTTTTAATTCATTTAATTGTTGATTACAGAGAAAATTTTATGTCAAAACAATTTTATGTTGAAATTAAGTTTAATTCATCACTTAATACACTGTTAGACATACTATACGTATACTAACGAGTGAACCAAAAATAATCTTATATTATATGTTAATTTCTCAAACATAACAAACTAAAGCATAGTTTAATTAAATCCAAATTTAAATTGCAATTATAAATTCATCAAAAATGCTTGTCTTTACATTTAAACAATATTTATTTACACAATTTAATATGTGTTTGATATGCAAAAAAAATACAACATAAATGTTAAATACATTTATCAGAATAATTTATTTTTCACTTGAAATTAAAACTTAATTTGAAAGCAATCAAATGGTAACTTGTATTTAATTTTAGATTTAAATTCTTTGTATTTTCAACAAAAACAATATTTAATTGTTATTATTATCAAAAAATAATTGCTTTCAATTGTTTAGTTTAGTAATGATTTGTTAGATTTATTTTTATTTAACTAAAGAATATCATAATTACATAATAGTAATGATAGAGTTTTATCAAAAGCATGTGTTTTTTGTTTGAAGTATTTTTAATTTTTCAAAAAGAAATGTTTTTACAAATATTATAATAATTACATAAGACATGAATTTACTGTAAAATAATAATATAGGATATTTTGATAGGGGTTTTGATCATAATTTGTAGGTCAAGTTGAATGGCAGGGAATAATAGCCATCCATTCATTTGAAAAAACAACTCTCTGTTCGGCAAAAAAAAGTATAATTAATTTCATTTAACCAAACGATGCCTTTAAATACCTTAAAGCGAATCCAGTATTCAATTCAATAGTAGTTTTTTTGGCAAATGTTTGCGTTACAAGAAAACTGCTTTAAACAACACATACACATGGTTTGCATCCGAAAGGTTAAAATTAAATTTATATACTGTTTTGCCTGTTATAATGAGTGGCATATAATTTATTGAACATAATCGGTGCCGTTATGTCAAGACCCGGTGCAGAACCTGTCAAACCGGACCTACCATACAGTGTGTATGTGTTTGTACAGTATGTGCACTATATTAACGGCATTTCGGGCTCGCATTTCATGAATCAAAACCTCTGTCACGCGTTTATAGCTCGGCATCGGAGGCAAGCATTCAATACTCAATTGTCTAACGCTTTGATGGCTTATATGGAAGAAGTTATGCAAAGATATTAATATTCAAACAATGCTTTTTTTCTTCAAAAGAATTTTTGCTTCTCTTTTATAAAACTCTTTTGGTTTGTTTCTTAACTTTATTAACAAAAAAACGTCAACACATCTGTGAATCTATGGCTGACGAGTATATGGGGTATGCATTCAATCAGTCAAATGAAGGACTCGCTCACCAGTAATGGCCTAATAGTTAGCCGAAAAATAAATAAAATGCATAAAAGATATCAAATTACATGAAACATATGCGTTGAATATACGAGAATGTTGTGAAAATACTGTACAATATATGCTATTTAGACACAGTTTGTGTGAAATTAGTTCAATATATTCAACATGTATTCGACGGGGCGTTCAAACACTCGCTTTCTATCAAATTAATGTTGAATTTCTTATATAAAGCCTATTGTTATTCACTTCTCAATTAAGTACTTATTTAGTGTCAGAATATAGTGTTATGTTATCACAAATTAATGTCTAATCAAATAATAGGCTCGAGTAATGATCGACACGAAAGTGAGTTTCATTTTAATTCACTAAATATTATACACATGTTTTAAATACTCCACTAATCCATCTATTGATATATTTTTCGCTTATTTTTTAAACTGTGATAGATTTGATAAATATTTACTCATTTGATATTTCACCAACAGGTTTTAAATATCTCAAAATTTATTGAATAAATATATTGAATATTTTCTTTTGATATTTAAATATCATATAATTGACTCTATTTTAATATTTCAGATTATTTAAATTAGAATTAATAAAAACGTGTTTTACATAGAGTATATGTTATATAATATATTGATAGTAATTTATATATAATTTAAAATGTTCTAGAATTTGACAAATAATTAGAGACTTGCAGAGCATTGCAGACTAAAATTGAGGTTTTATATGAATGATTATCTTGAATAATGACATTTATGTTAAAATTATAGTTAAATATTTACAATAACAATACATTAAATAAAATTTTATTATATCTATAATATAAATCTCATCGTAGCGTAGGGCAAATCGAGGGCAAAAAGGGTACTAGTTATAATGTTTAATATGCTTAAAATGATCGAGGTGAGACATTAAGTACGTCTCATTATGAACAGTGCCAGATACGATATGATATAAATTGTATATACTGTAGATTCTATACAATGATGAATAATACAATGGTCGACTATTTCTATTAAATCAAAACATTATTTACCATTTATTAAAAATTTCAATAAAATTATACCAAATTTAATATACAGTATAAGTTTTATTGTATAGAAACGTTAAAATTAAAAACATTTGAACGCATTATACAGATTAAATTGTTTTACGTTTAAAATAAAAAAATTAACGTATTTTGCGAAGAAATCGTATGATTTAAAGAAAAGTTTTCAATTATTTCTTTTAAAAATTCAATTATTATACAGTATATCATAATTTTTTTCATAAATTTTTATATACGAACTGAATTTAATATTGGAAAAAGTATATAAATTCATAAGGTTTTCAAAATATATTTTACACTTACTTTCCATTTATTGATTTTATTTAAGAATTACTATTTTATATGAGATTTTGTGCGACAATTTTGAAGTAAAATATTTTAAGATATACTGTAATTATAATTTTATTAATTTTCGCTAACCTTTATACTTATTCGTTATTGAATCTTATGCTAATCTTTTATTAATTCATTAAATTCTTAAATTCAATAATTTATTGAATCAAACATTCAATCACTTTAATTAATTTGTTTTGTAATTTTATGTTTAAATAATCTATATAAAATTTAAGATATTTAAATATTTAGCTATATGGCTAAATAATATAGTTACTGTATATGGTTTTATTGAGCTTTTCATTCACTTCACATGTGTAACACATAACAGAATAAAAATATTATTATTTCTAAATTCTTAGAAATTCAAAAATAATTTTTATTGTATTTCATATCTTTATATACAGTGTCTTTATTTGCATTCTCACGAGTCGGTGGAAAATGTTATTATATAATAAGTTATATTGTATTGAAATATTTGAATTATATAAAAATATATATCAATATAACCCCGTGTAAAATCCTATAGGAAAATAACCAAAAAACTGTTTTAGCAGTGAATTAATGTCTATATTATAAACTTTTTATTATATTTCTGTACTGTATATGTATTAATAGAAAATTTTCACTATCTTTTGAGGACAACTTCTTTACGATTGAGAGATAATCTGAAATAATTGTCAGAATTTAGATCTCTTTCTATAACTTTAACCCAATTATTAGTATTTAATGTATAAAACCATATAATTCTAAATCTGAAAAAAGTTTGTGAAATGAATCTTAAATAATAGATACACTTATGATATGAAGGAAATGAATGCATTAAAATAAGAGAAAAATTAATTAACTAATAATACAT